TCCTCCATCTCTTTCAAGTGATCCTCCCTGGTTCTTCATTCTTTTCACAACTGAAATTTCTCTGTGCAACAATGACAGCGTAGATGTGCTTTGCTCTTCCTGTAGGGACTGGGTTGCTGAACTTCAAATTCCCCCCTCAACTTTGTATAGCTATCCCCTTTCTATCCATTTGTGCTGCCTAGAAAGTGTTGATAAAAGAAAGAAATCACCATCAAGCGGCTTCATTTCAGGAGATTCAGACTCAATTTTCAGTAAGCGTTGAGAGAAGAGAGCACAGCTGGACCAGGAGTGAGAAGACAGGGAACCAGGACTATGGGGCCGCAGGGAAGGCACCTCTCAGTTTGGGCCCAAATTCTCCAAGTGAAATGATGATATCTGCCCTCCCCCATCATGTCCTATGAGGATCAAATTAGATGTGCATGGGAAAGTGCTTTGAAATACAAGATAGATAAGATAAATAGGCATAGTTTTGCAAAAGCCAAACAGTGATGGCCTTCCAAGAATCTTCCTGGCTTTATGTGGCCAATTAACCCAGGCCTGTCCTCTGCGTTATGATCCCTCATAACTGTCTAATGTGGGATGGAAGATTTCTAGAATTATAAATGGGAGAGTTAATAAAGAGGTTCCTGCTTTCTAAATAAAAGGAATTTAGTTCACCAATGTTTATGGCTACTGTTTTGTACTTCCACTGAGGAACAGCCTAACCAAGGAGCTGGGAGAAAACAAAAGGCAGAAAGTGATCTAAAAATTCACTATCAAGGTGCTAATAAAACACCTGGAGGAACTACAGTTATCTACATAAAAAGAGTGGCACTGCAAAACAAGGCCTGTTTTATGATTAAATATTACACAAATAGATGGTATAAATTATGATTGAATGCCATGCCTGGGGGACACAGCAAAGATCATTATTCTGGAAGATGCATTGAATGTGCCCTAAGTGAGTTGGGTGATAAAAACTGTCAGCTACATTTGGGTTGAACAATCTGGAAAGACTGTATGGATCAGAGTCTGAAGGAAACCAGCTAAATGGAGCCCTAGCAGCACATCCTCCTCCTGGACTGACACAGCCTGAGAACCCATCTAACTTTAAGAGAGTCTGTTGCTTTAGGCCGCAGGCTCTCAACTATACTAGTGGGGTTGCCCCAGTGTAACGCTCTCTCATTTACAGTTGGGAAGGCCCTTACCTATCACCTTTCTACGACCAGGGGAGAAAACCTTCATTCGTTAACTCAGGGATGGGGCAGGAACGTTCATTGTCTAGTCTAGCGGTTCCCTTTGGGAGGGAGGCAAATGGAACAGAAGTGGAGTATACTTCTTCTGTAGGGTTTTATTTCATTAGAGAGAGAGACACACAGACAGAGAGAGAGACCGAGAGAGAGACGAGAGAGAAGAAAAGAACCCTACACTTTCAGGCTCCTCTGGCTTTTTTGGCCATGTCCTCTCGGGCCATGCCAGCCCCTGCGAAGTTAACGAGCGCCACACTACAGTAAAAGAGTGAGATGCAAGGCTAACCCTGGAAAGATGCACTATATTGAGGCCTCTTCCAGAATTTTCTAACACCACGTCGGGGTGTTTTACAGCTGAAACCCATACATCTCATTTCCTATTGTCCTTTATGCTTCTTTTATAGCATCCCTGACCAACATATTTTCTTTGCATTCTGCTGGACGTTGGTATGGATTGTTTCCAAGCAGCTTGTAAATGCCATTAAGATGCCTGTTTCTTCCTTATCTCATTTCTTTACCAACATTCGCTTTTTTTCCCTGCTGTTCACTTCCACTGGTATTTACCATTTACTATTTATTAGTTTTGTATTTCCTTAAAGCCTGTGTAACAAATATGAAATTTACTTCCAGGAGAAAAGAGTTATCTCACACACCAAGTCAGTGTCTAATGGACAAACAAAACAGAACAAACCCTGTTAGAGTTTTCTTCCTTAAAATTAAAGTGGATTTTTAATTCTAAAAAAGAAAGCTCAGAGGACAAAGAAGTACCAGTTATCATCTGCTTGTCCCACACCCTCCTGTCCCAGCATTTCACTCCAGACTCAGATTATCCCCCCACTTCCCCGGCCTGGGAAAGACCATCACTTGGACACTGGAAATGCAAATAATCCTGGAGCCAGTAAGGAATTTCCCCTGAAGGAACATGACGGCAAAAACCTGGGAAACAGAAGGACCACAACTCCACCCCAGATATTTTCACTCCAAATCTAGAGTACTCGCCAGACCATGCTGAATGAGGAAAGAAGCCTCTTGTTTTCCCTAAGAGGAAATCCAAGTTAGTGCCTGCCTACATGGTTGGTGTTTCCTGGATGATTGTTCTGAGCAGCACTTTCTCTTCACTTGAGAATCACTGTCTTACTCGGCTACTCTTATTGTGGTAGTCTCTCATATAGGGCAGGCATTCAGCTGTGACAGAGAACCTTAGCTCAAAGTTTGAGGTATATCAGAATTGTTTGGGTTTCTGTGACAGTTCCAAGGAGCTAAGGAACCCCCATCGGCAAATTGGAGACTTAGGTATTAGTTCTAATCCGGGAGTCATTCTGAAATTTGCTGGTGTCAAAATCCTACCCTGCAGCAAGGTAATTGAGGAACCTCAGAGTTTGCCCAAAGCCACATATTCACTTAGGAGGTGCCTCCTGCCTCAGATCTAGGACAGGTCATCAAAGTGCATGCCTGTCCCAGGCAGCCTTTGAATAACCCAGACTTTGGTTTTTTTCCTTTCTCTTCTGGGCAGAATAAGTGTGGAGCTCACAGTTGGCACACCCAGAGAGGAAGTATAGTGTCCTAGTCCTAGATAACAATATATATTTATTGAGTGCTGGCTATATATCAGACACTGCCCTAAGCAATTTGTATACATTACCATTTTTAACCTTAACAACCATACAAATAGGTACCATTAGCCCCATTTTACATAAGAGAAAACAGATTAAGTGATCTGTCCAGGGCAGTGGCTGGTCCAACTGTTGGAGCAGGACCCTTGGCTGTCTAGAGACCTGAATTTTTAACTACTATAGTGCCCTCTGTCTTCATACACTGTCCCTTGCACTTCTGTCTTAAGAAAGGGAGAGGAGGTCTCAAAAAACTGATAGATCAGTTCAAGAGGAATGGGCCCTGGCCAGTGTGGCTCAGTTGGTTGGAGCATCTTCCCATAACAGAAAGCTTGTGGGATGGCTTCCTTGTTAGGGCACATATCTCAGTTGCAGGTTCGGTCCCCAGCCAGGCACATACAGGAGACAGCTGATTAATGTTTCTCTCTCCCGTCAATGTTTCTCTCTCCCTTCCTTTCTTTCTAAAAGCAATGAAAGGGTGTCCTTGGGTGAGGAGAGAAAAAAAAAAAGAGGAATGAGATAACCATCTCAAAAGATTTTAAACAGATTGAAAAGAAGTGAAAACTTCTCCCTGAGCAATGGCCGCCAGACATCTGTCAAGAGGACCCCTTGTTATCACTGAGTAGGCAAATTTCTGCACTTCAGCTGTATGGTGTGACTGGTGACATACTGGAGGGTTCATAATTGCCCTGAATTATGTGAGTAGGAATGCCAAAATATTAGAGCAATACCTAAGTGTAATGTGCATCACAAACCATTAGCTAGCATGGCAGGTCTTTTTTAAAGACTTTTATTCATCTTCAGAAAGGGGAAGTAAGGGAGAAAGAGAAGGAGGGAAACAGCAATGTGTGGTTGCCTCTTGCACACCCCCCATTGTAGGGATCTGGTCTGCAACCAGGCATGTGCCCTGACTGGGAATCAAACCAGTGACTCTTTGGATTACAGGCCGATGCTCAATCTACTGAGCCACGCCAGTCAGGGCTAGCCTGGCAGTTTTTAAGAGAGCATTTCTAGAATTTCTAGAAAACCCTGGCCCAAATGAAGTTTCTTTTTCTTCTGTTTTCTTCTCAGATTTTGTGGGGAATGGGGTCAAGAAAGGGAGACCTAATTTCACTGTGTGTCTCAGGCTCTGCAAATCCATAACAAAACAACAGCAAAACCATTGCTTCAGTCCTATAATCTGCCTCCCCCTGAAGATTTCAAAGCAGGGCAAGTGCACTTTGAGGAGTCTCCCCCTCTGGCTTTCTATGTGCGCCAGGAAAGGGCAAGCAGGGTGCCTTCTCTGCTTCCTTCCCAGCAGGGAAGGCATGTTGAGAACTGCCTGGTGGCAGGGCTCCAGCAGTGCAGCTGTGCCCTGGTCCTCCACCGGCTGGAGGGAGAGACTTTGGGACAATGCAGACCTGAGAACAGCTCTGTGTAGAGCACTCTGCCCCGTCTCAGCATGCCCATCAGTTGAAAGGTTCTAGCCTTAGACAGCACAGAAGGCAAGAAGTAGCTTGCAAAGGGGAAGATTTTCAGCACAGTGCATAGGGAATTAAACCTATATTAACAATTACATTGAGCTGTGGAGTGGAAAAGCTGGGACGGTGCTGGTGTTCCCTAGGCAACAGGCTGAAAATGTTCACTCCTTAGAAAGTCTTTCAACTGGCCATGGCTGTTTCCTGACAGTACCAGTGGCTGAGCTCTGGAAAAATAATGAAGGCTATGGATGGGATATGGTGAGTGGCAAGAGGTCCCCCTCCAAGACAGGATGGCTTTTCTTGTGTTTGGATTTGGGTTAGAAAAACAAACTAGCAGACCATGATTGCTGACACAAATAAATCCATAACCCTACGGGTAAACACTTGCAGGGGAAAAAAAAAACAACTGTTTGCCTCTTCTCTTGGTAACATCCAGTGCTGCAGTGGAAAACTCCGTGATCCCTGAGAAATATGCATGATGAGCATGTGGTTATTTTTTCCCAGTTGATTTTGTACTTTAACCTGGGAGCCTCTGTTACCCAGACCAGCAGCATAGTGACTGTCACGGGGCTGTGTGCCTGTGTTTGTGCACTGTGTGTGCTGTTTTCCCGCGTTATTTCAGCGTAACTTCCTCTTTGCTTTACCTAAATCTCAACAATGAGACATAATGTGTAAACTTCTTGAATGTTTGTTCTTTTCAGTTCTAGGGAAAATCCGAACTGCAGTGGGCAGTGCCCAACTTCTCATGGCCCAGAAATTCTACCAGTTCAGAGAACTGTGTGAAGAAAACCTGGTAGGTAACATTCCCCATCACTACCATTTCCTTACTAGTGCCGTGAGGAGCATGTGCTGTCCAGACCGGCCCATCTAGAGTGAAACTGATTTGGAACTGAGTCAAGGCCCACTGGACTCTCTTACCTGGAACAGAGTTCTCTGATGCATCTTATTTCCTGCATTTCTTAAAATTAAAAATACTTATTTCATACTTAAATAATCTTAGAAGAAAAAAACCCAATCAAATTAAAACTCCATTTCCTGCTTTATGGTAACTAAAAAAATTCCATTTTCCTGGCTTTTACATGGCACCTCTGATTTCATTATTCTTACCAAAATAGGGAACACCCTGCTAGTTCAAAAATCATATTACAGAAAATCATTTTGGATAATGTTTTTCTTTCTGAAAGTTCACTGTTTTAATTCAAGGGTCAGAGAGGGAGGGTTTCACAAAGTGTAGATTTTATCTCCCTGAGACAAATGGGTCCTTCTTGGATATACAAAAGCAAAATAAAGTAAAACATTGACAAAAGCACCACTGCCAACAACATGGTAAAAATTGACTGCAAAATACAGGGGCAAGAGCTTCCTCAGTCACATTTACTTTAAAAAAAAAAAAAAAAAAACTTGCTACTATCTCTACAGGTGTCATTCCACAAGAATAGCTTTTATTGGTCAATTGTTGGTGAAACTGCATCTAAAACAAAGATAATGAAAAGTAACTTGTTTATCTTGTTGAAAGTAAAAACATGCTTATGTGCACTCTAATTGACCCAAACTATGATTTCAGTGTTTTAACCACATCTTCTTGTTAACAAGGGCAAATTCAGACTGAAAGTGATTTATCTAGACAGAACTGAGCCAAAAAAAAACAAAAAAAAAAACAGAAAGCATGCAAAAATTAGTACTCTCCCTCCCTCTTCACCAGGCTTTCCTTTTGGAAGTCTCCCTTTGGGGCTAACCCTTCCCTCCTATCACAGCCAACCCCTCCTAGCAAAAATTACTTAATCTTTCCTTCACTTCAGAAATTGTATTCTGGATTATGAGATAATATGTATTAGTAAATATATTGATAAGTGAATACAACAAATATATTTTTGAGTGTCGCCTTGTGCCAGGTACAGAATTCCTGCTAATTTGTAAACTTGGCAATGTGTCACAGATCTTAATTAGCATGATTCTTTGTCTTTAAATATAGGAAAGCCATACTTTACTCACATAAAGCCATACTTCTCAAACTGGCTGCTAGATATACCTGGAGCCCGCTACATACACAGTACAGGGCACGGAACACGCCTTGTAAAGGAATTACATAACGGGCAGGTATATTATGAAGTAGAATACAAACATTATGTGGATTTTAAAGATGAAATTGCAGACAAAATGTTTTAAGAACTTTGCAGACTTCTAGGGAAGGTTTATCTTGTTAAAGCTATCTTTTGATTGTTCCTTGTTCCTGGTGGGCTCACATTCCTTGGCCACTAGAGGAACTTAGATGCCAAATTATGAGAAACATTATGAGGCAGCCGGAAGTGGAACTACACTGGAGGCTAGGGGCCACTGATGGCTGGTCAAACCAAGCCTAGGAGGGAAGGTCAGGAGCCCACTGTGTGGACCTATGGAGCAGATTGTGACATTATTTTTATGATGGTTTTACCATTAAGGAAAATGGGCATGGAAAGGCTAAGAAACTTGATCAGGGCCTCATGGTCAAAGGCTAAACTGAGATCCAAATCTCAGTCTCTTTGACCTCAATCCCTGTAAATCCACTACCCACTCCCCCACTCTACTTATCCCCCCCAGAATCTGAGTTGCACTCCTCATCCTTGTGTAGGGATCTGGGGTTGATCAATTAACTCTACTTCCTCTTCTGCAGAAAGCCTGGTGGCCTGGTGGTGGCAAAGATGGCACTGAGATTGGTCATAACCAGACCCAGCTCTCCTTTCTTGAGTTCTTACTCCAAGTAGGGGAACACTTGAATACCTGTACATTATCTCAGACTAGACTCTCAAGCATAGAATGAATAGCTGAGCATTACTTTTCCCAACAAGACTAAACCAAGGAACCCAGCCCTCCTCATCTTTTCACTCTCTTCACCACCTCTGACCTCTAAGTAGCCCGGTTTGGACTAAGGCTACTGCTACAACTTCTTCTCATGTGTGGGATGTCACATGACCCACTGATTAAATGACTGGCTGAGTGCCTAAACTCCTTCTCTCTGCTTCCTCATCTATCCCCTTCATGATATGAGGGCAAAGAGATTCTTGGTGAGAAGGGAACAAATTGCCCATTATACAGAGTTCAAGTAACTCTTTGCCAATCATTTCATGCATTAGTGCACTGAAACAATTTAGCCATTAGGGCTTGTGACCTAAAAGACTTTAGTAAACTCCAGAACATAAGCAAGTTAGTTTTGGGTTGTCAGTAAGATAAGGAAATATATTGTGAGATCATAAAACTCCATTTGAGAGGTGCTTTGTCAAAACTATTATGTCTTTTCTGAACCTAGATATTAAGAAAACTTTAGTTTGGTAAACCAAAATGCTACAGAGAAACTCTTTCACTAATTCAAGTGTCATTAGCACAGACTTAATAATGAACCAAACACAAACTTTAGAATTTTCTTCTTCTAGTGAATTTCAAAACTATGGGTAGTTTTAGAACTATAAGTTTATAAAAACATCCTTATTTTCAGTCTAGACCTATAATGCTGGTTTATGCAAAGGGCTAAAATGTTCTCTCCAATCTATTATTTTGATGATAACTGACCTTACACTTTCTGAAATCCTGATATCATTTTACAGTGGTTAGTTTTAAAAATACAAATTGGCCTCAAGTTATTATATGGCATGAGGTTTCACAGTCTATCCAATTGCCTGGAATACTTAGAGGTCACCAAACAGACCCCAGCTGTAAACCTCTGACACGTGGAGGCTCCCACCAATCTGACTGTGAATGCTTTAGTGGCTACTACAGTTAGTGATTAACAATGAACACGACACCTTCAGTCTCTCAGTTATGTTTTTTCTGTCTTAGGTCATATAAATTTGTGGCTCATACTTTCTAATTCTTGTTAGGAATATGTGGATGGAGACAAAGAAAGTCAATCCTTAAATAACAAAGAATGTTTAATAATATTTAGCAAATGGGTCACTAGAGGCTCTGTGTGTATGTATGGATATGTGTTCTAACATTTACTATGTTATGTTATGGTCAATTTTGAACTAATTCATTTCCAAATGATCTTGCCAGAGTATTCATATAATAAAATGACTTCCTACATTATTAACATTTTTATTATTAAATATACATTACTTTGAACATTCAGTTACTTTATCATTCATCATCTGTTTACCCTAGCATTTCACTCAACATTAGTATTAAAACAACTCGTATTTTTAGATTCCATATCTGTTATCTAAATAAGTTGGGTAGCAGGTAGTCAAATACTGACTCTAATATACTTTTTTTCCAAGATGGTATTTTCATATGCATTTTGTTGTAGGTCAGACATTCTGGATTTTCAAATGTTTACTCTCTTTCCATACTGTACTGACAGACATTGTATTACAAGAGTTTTACAACCTTGGCATTTGAGAATTACTGTCTCAAATGGATGTGTGTATAAATTACCATGTGTAGTAAACTCTAAAAACATGTCGAGTTCATAGAGACAGAAGGGGAAAAGTGGTTGCTAGGGGCTGAGGGGTGAAAGAAACAGGGAGAAGTTGGTAAAACGGTATAAACTTGCAGTTAGGACATGAACATGGTCTGAGGATCTGATATATAACCTACTGATTATAGTTGATAACACTGTACTGTATAACTAAAATTTGCTAAGAGACTAGAATTTAATGTTCTCACCAAAAATATTTTTAAAAGGTAAATATGTGAAGTATTGGATGTGTTAATTAACTTAGAGGGAATTCTTTCATAATATATGTCAAACTATCATACTGTATACTTTAAATGTTTTATGAGTATTATTTGTAAATTATACCTCAGCAAAGCTGAAAATACATATTAATTTTTAAATAAAATTACCATTTATAAATTACCATAAAATTACCACTTTTATCTCCTGCCTGAAAACCAAAAAGAATTCGTCCTCCTTGTTATTTGAAATATTTGAAAATGTCGCTTTGTCCTGTGCTTGTTGTTATGAATCACCTCTAAAGCATGCATATTCTTCTTTCTCTCGTACAGAACCCTAATGCTCATCCAAGGCCCACCTCCCAGGATTTGGCGGGGTTCTGGGACATGCTGCAGTTGTCCATAGAAAATATTAGTATGAAATTTGATGAACTTCATCAGTTAAAGGCCAATAATTGGAAACAGATGGATCCTCTTGACAAGAAGGTAGAACAATGTAGATTTTGTATGGTTCATTTAAAAACCTGCACAAACACTGGACAGTCTAAATAGGCTTCTGCATTCAGTCTTGCTGTTTACAATGTGAAATGGAGCTGATATCATATTAATTTCATTGTAACGACAATGTTTACATAGTAATCACTTGGGATATCATCTGTAATGTTTCAGGCATATTTTTAAAGAAAAATCTGTCTTTGTGAATTGGAAAATGGGAATGTGGCTTTTTTTGTTAATTAAACGTTAAGTTAAACCATTTTAGTCACTGGAAGGAACTGCCTCCATTTTGCTTTTTAAACTAAAATAAATGACATCTTCAGTGCATGATTACATAGAGCAAGAGTTCAACTTCCTTACCCCTAGGATGTGTTTCTGAGAAAAATAGGAACCCCTGAAAACTAATCGACTTTGATAATCATTTTATAAATAGAATAATAAAGAAACCACTGTTGTTCAAGTCTAAAAATATACACATCATCAGTTTCACATGGATCAAAATGTTGGGATTTTTTCTTTTTAAGGAAGTTTCACTTTTGGTTGATTTGCCTTTGGGAATATTGCTCATTGGGTTCCTCATGCTACAGTTTAGAAATAAAGACTCAAATATTTTTTACTTTAATTAATAAACTGCAGTTTTCACATTTGATTATGGTGATTCCACCAGGCTTACACAGATGCACATCTTCCACCTCCCTAGGCTGGGCTGTCATGCACAACTTTTTACCACTTTGTTTTCCTATGGCCTAAGGTTGAATAGTTCCAAGAGATTCAACTATAAAAATTATGCATGGCTATGACCCTGAAGCACTGGTGGCCCTGCCCTTTTCAGATCTCCTTACCTATCACAAAGCTAATAGCCATCCAATTCATTCTGTTGCTGACCATCATAATACCAGGGTTCTTGGGGTCAGGGGGCTCCCAGGAGAAATCCAGTCCCAAGGGACAGTGCATGGTAGACAAGAAAACAATGCTATCATTGTCACCCCTCATTTCCTTCTCCACCATCAACCTGAGGGTTTTAAGAGTAAGCATCAAAGTACCATTGATACATGTATGTGTGCCCTCTCACTTAGGAAGCCAAACACTTGCACTTAATCTAGTTTTCTTTTTTTAAATCTGTGTTTAAAATTGCCTTCTAGATAAACTTCTGAATTGGTCTTATTTTAAGAAAACACTACAGATGTACACACATAGTGGTGATTTTTACTTTCTGGACCTGAACCAGACAATCTCCCATTTTTTTATTTTTAAAAAATTATTGTTAAAAATAACAAAGTATACAAGGATAGGAAAATGTGACTAAAATTGATCAATATTCATACTTTCAGAAATATCCACCAAGTTACCCAACAATGAAGATTTAAATGTCCATAGGAACGATGCTAACCTATGGGCATTCACACAGTAAACCGTTAGTTAATCTGATTCCTAAATCATTATACACTTTGTCTATGATTAGAGCTTTTCATGAGCCCGTGAACTTTAGGGGGAAAAAGTGAATATCAGAGTTGGCTCAACACCGTTTGCACACTGTGCTCCCTTTTTCTGTCCTTTGGGCCACACAGGGCAGCAGCCCCAATAAGTTTTAGTAGGCACTTCGCCCACATCAGCAAGGGGAGCTGCTACGTTGAGCTCGAGGGTGAAGGCACAAGGGGTGCCCTTTGAAGAATGTTAGAATCCATGTTTTTTTTTAAATACTTTTCACATTTATGAGACATTTCACATTTCACATTTCTTTATGAGGACAGGGGGAGTTTTATTAAAAACAAAGGCATTCACGTGGACCTTTTCGCAGCCTGACAATTTGTCATATTTTAGTAAAAATCCATTATGGTCTAGATTTCCTTCTCTCCCACTGCATTTTTCTTTTCTACGTAAGTCATGAATGGCTTCTGTTTTTCAATGGCATTTAAAAATATCAAATTGTCTTATAGTTTGCTATTGCTAAAGCAGATGAACTCTTTCAGTCCTGGGTTAAGTTTCCATGGCACAGTGTCTGTCCCTGTGATCGGAATAGCCTTCCGGGCCACGGTCATTCTGAGGTCCCTGAGTGACACCCCGGCTGGGCGTTTTAGGAGCCATTTTGGAACTGATTCCAAGCTAGAGTGTAGGAATTACCGGTGTCTTCCCTCCAGGATGACCCTGGAAAGTATATCGCTGTGTGTTTGTGTGTGGTGTGCAAAGGGGTGTAATCACTGTGGCATCTACAAAGCTAAAGAACAGTCTTAACATCTCTTCTTCCTCATTTGGCTACTTAGGTTTGGGTGGGCCTGGAGAGAGGGCGGTGATGGTTTTAAACCCTGAACCCAGCTCGCACCAGCTGCCTTGCCTCCTTAGAGGGCATGCAGAGTTCTAAGATGCTGCTGCTGCTGCTGAAACCCTTTCCCATCTCTAGCACCTGGAAGAGTCTGGAGCCTCCAGAGAGAACCACACTAAATGTGCTGGGAGCTGCAGCCTTTCGGCAGGGGGCATTTTAAATACCCACAGCCTTTCCTTGGAGAGACCTAGTTCTGCAATCCAGCCTACCCTTGGCCTTAAGCTTACCGGTATATATTTTTTCTGCATTTTTTGAATACCTAAGCCAGAATAATAAAGAAAAAAATATATACAGTGTGCAGATCAGGACTAACCATCCTTAGGTTTAAAAAAGTGTGTTCTAACTACTGACCTATCCCAGTTTTTCCCAAGCTTGTCCTGAGAAGCTGTGTAATGTCCTGAACCTTCTGCTTTGATCAGGAGAGAAGGGCCCCTCCTCCAGTGCCAAAGAAGCCGGCGAAGGGCCCCGCGCCGCTGATCCGGGAGCGCTCGCTGGAGAGCTCGCAGCGCCAGGAGGCCCGCAAGCGCCTGATGGCAGCCAAGCGCGCCGCGTCAGTCCGCCAGAACTCGGCCACGGAGAGCGCCGAGAGCATCGAGATCTACATCCCCGAGGCGCAGACCCGGCTCTGAGGCGTCCGGGCCGCGCCGCGCGCGCGCGTCCCGCGGCGTCAGGACCCAGTGTCTGTCCTCCCCTCCTCCTCTTCCCTCCCCGCTGCGCCCTCCGAGCCCGTCTGTCTCTAAGCCCAGTGACTTCCACTGTCGCGGTGTAGTTGTTCATCTCGCAGAAGCCGTCCCCCAATCACCCCTCTGCCCAAGCCAGTTTGCCCATGTTCTTCACTGAGCTTAGCCACCTGTATTGATGCGTCACCCTGCCTCATCCGGATAACCAACCCTTTCTGTTCTCGGCAAAACTAAGCCCACCTGTGTAGAAATAGCCCCTTTAAGTCACTCACCATCCTCAGTTCTCTCAAGTTAGTCTGTCCCTAGAGCTCAGCAATATAAAACCATAGGGTATTTCAGAAATCCAGTATCACAGGGTGAACCTTTAGGACCTAACCGTCTTCCACGTGAAAGAAACTAGGGCTCCGATTCCCTGTATTTCCCCTAAACGGTTATTATTTTGCAAAGCGGATGGAGCACTTTATTTCCAACCTCAGAAATCACACCATCTCACCGGAATCAATGAGTGACAAACCCAGAGAGGACCGAGCTGGGCTGGGGGTGGAGGACCTGGATGTGTAGTGGGAAAGGGAGAAGCAAAATCTGCAGGTGCTGGGGTGACCTGCACCACTCACAGCTGCACAAACTGCCTCACTGTTACTTCATCAAGCACTGCTTCAAATGTAACAATCAGCAGAAGATTGTAAATTCGATCTTTCAGGGAAATTAATCTATTCTGAAAGGCAATAAAATGAAGAAAGGCAAGGCAAAGGAAGCACTGAGAGTTTAAGATACTACATAAGGGTTTTATTTTGTGTTCTATTATTAAGAAAATTTAGACCTGAAGTGTTTTATCAACTTTTATTGTGTTATGTATATTATCTTGTCGTGGTGGTGGGGTCTTAAAGGGGAAACTGTTGGTTGGTTCTATTAATTTATTAGTGTTTATCCTGGGGATCCTACCTATTTATACCTATGTAAGTACACATCTGCTTCTGAAGTGCTGTAAATGGCAGCCAGGCTGTTTTCAGAGACAAGTGGATTTTCCTTTCACCCCTCTGAATGCTACACATCCATCCCTTTTTAACGGTTAGTTCACATCGCAGACATATTTCCTCCTTTAGTCTCCTCTCACTCTTACAGAGTCCTGTCATCCACCAGGATAAGGATTTTGTCCTATGTCAACCCGATAAAATAAATTTTCTACCCCAAAAGATATGCCTCATTCCAAAGACCTGCCACTCATCTTGAAGTCCCAGGTAATAGAAATTTGACTTACAAGGCTCAGAAACCACAAGGAGAGAGAAAAAGTCACGACTCACAAACATGGAAAGAAACCCAGGCTTTTGGCAGAGAATGTTGATTTACATTTTTAATCATGATGATGGGCAGTATGCACTTTGCGTCCAGCTGAAGTTATCTTTAAATGCCCTTACTCGTAGCAGTTTAAACATTTAGAATGTGATGATCTTAAAGTATCACTGGCATTTTGTGTCCAGCTCCCACCCTGAAGTATTAGAAATTACCATTGAAAAATGAAAGACTTTTAAAAACATACATCAAATATGCTTGCACCAGAGAAGCTTTTTCAAAAAAATATATATATACTCGCATAGCCAGGTGCTAATTTAATTTTATTTATGAAATTAAGAGAGTGATGGGTTCTGGCAACAACTATTTTCAAGGATATATTCTAAAACCACTAGAGAATTTGCTACCTCTCAGAGCCACTGATGCTTTGAGCAATCTTTATAAACAGGGCACAAATGTTTACTGCTGTGGTTTACAAGAAAAGGGCTACTAACTTATTAAAAAACAAATTTTTAACTAGGGTGAGCAAAGCACCTTGAGTGCTTTGTAAAATTGGAGCATACAGAGATATTGAGCTTCAAGTACTTGCTGGTTTTAAACAGAATACATCTTTACTTTGTAACTGCATTGGAAGGTCACACAAAATTTGCATCAAGTAAGGCCAACTGCCACCTTGGGTAGCCTATGGTCACATTCAATCCCACAAATGACTTGGAACTCACAAATTAGCATGAAGGAAGCGAAATCCATTTGAAGACCCATGTTCCCAACTACAGCTCTGTGCCCTGAAGTAGATAGAGATAAGATTTGGATTAAGAAATAGATTTATAATATGACTCAAGATCATCCTACACCATTTGCTTTGGAAACTGGTTTAGCCCAGGATATTTTAAAGAGAGACAAGAGAAAGCCTATTCATCTTGTCTATGTGAATGGTATTTGTATATTCATAAGCTATTTTTGGTAAGAATTTTAAATCTTTTAGCTATATGCCCACAGGCATCATGACCTTTGCCTTCCTTAAAGACACAAATTGTGCAAACACTTTATAAAGAGCTAATTATTGATGTTAAAACATGACCCCACATAAAGCTGCTTGTTAATCACTTGCCCCTTTAACTGACATCCATGAGTATAACCTTTGTTACATTGTTCTTTTTGATGTAATTTGTAGAAATGTTTTTTAGTTCATAATGGAAAATGTATTTACCCAGAAAAATTACTTATTTTGTTTAACTTTGGTATAAAGATGTTTGGGCATTTTCTCGGGGAGGGGGGATTACAAAAGAAGTTTGTCTCCCACATCAAAAAAGTTCAAAGAAATTAAGTATTTATTATATTTTTTGCAGGTGTTTCCATACAATTCACATAACCTTTTTGTAAAGAGAGATGAAGAAATGGATTAAAGATTTTTAATATTTGAAATGGTAAATAGAACTAATTTATTTGTAATATATTTCTGTTATTTATAGATGTTTCCTTAATGTTTTACTGTGCATTACCACTTTAATTTAAGCCTTATCCTTGTGAATTTACCATTTCTTTTTAAAAAAACATGTCTAGATGCATATTTTAAATAACTGGAGTGTAAATCACTAGCATATCTCAATTCCCAAATGTAATTTTTAAAAATTATTTTGGTTTGGAAAAAAAAAGATTCATTTGAAAGCCTTCAGATGGAGGGGTGGGGAACATTTTTATGGCTTTATGAATTGGAATTTCATAGGCTTATCTACCTAGATTGTGTGTGGACAAAAAAAAATGTAAATAGATGAATGTTTCCCATAATGTAAAAAGATGAAATTAATAAAATAATTAATGCACTGCTTTCAGGTCTGCATGTTTTCACTACAGAGTCCTGCTTCTTCCAAAGTATAATTAATAGCCTTTTAGGGGCGTAATTAAGCAATTAAGCATACCATTCTAACTTTCATTATAACAACACATATGCTAGTTACTCTTGAGCCAAGGAGTAGACCTATGTAAGGGGTTTACATACTGAAAACTAAAAGTCACTTTACTATGATGCACACATGTGAAAGTTTCAGGTCAAGAGCTGTATATTTCATGAAAGAAGTTACTAACTTCTCAAAGTTGTGCAAATCTGTATCTATTTTATCCACTTGAATTTCTTGGCAAGTATTTCATCAATTATGTTTTCTACACAGTTCTCCAGGGTAGGAAAAGTCAGACTAACACATTGTGGTGTTCGATTATTCTTGTAGCAATGAAAACTGTGCTTACTGATGTTTAGTGACTTGCCCGATGTGACGTAAGTGTTACGTGACAGATTTGAGTCCAAAATTCAAGCCTTCATTCCCCCCAACCAAGTTCTTTACCAAACCCATCCACCTATATGCAACAAACTTAAAAATTGTTAAGCAGATAAGCCACTTCCTCCGATTTCTATACATAAACAAAACCTGTACCAGTCACCAAAATAATACAATGTACTTTTGAAACTGCTTCAAAAGAGTTTGAAGTAACTGGATCCTCATGAGGTCCACAAAGACCTTCTAACTTGGGTTCATGAACTGACTATTCCCGAAGTCTGAACTGTGATTACACTTAAAAAGTTTTGCCTTTTAAGAAATTACTTCTTAATATTTTATTGGGCCTCCTTAAAAGTGTTTTGGCCAATATGCAAACCAAATGAGTTAGTTTTTGCATGTGGAAATTTGAATTTCAGGGAAGCAGTTTCCCATGCTACAGAGTTCACACCCAAAAAATGTGATTTCATTTTTGATAGAAATTGAACAAAATTGTTTGCTTTGAATATGGATTTCTTTTAATGTCTTTGAAATCCACCCCCTTGAAAATATAATTTTATTTTGGTTTAAATAAATGACATTTAAAATCTATTGTGTCTGAATGTGTTCATTCTCAGATGCCAGTGACAGATATTAAAAGGATGCCGAAATTTGAAATTTACCTCGGGTTTGCTCCACTGTTTGACTTTCAGCTGCTAAAGCAAGATTGGATCAATTCCTTTTGTAAACAGAAACTGGTGGCCCTGTTTGAAAATTGTCTCAGGGTCCTAACTCACGTATTAAGTTTACAAAATAGGTCTTAAATTCCTCTGTAAATCACTGTCATCTCCCCTGAAGCAGAGAGAGGAAATGGTGGGCTGCTTCCTGGTCTACATACTCTCCTCCCGGCTTTCTGCTGACAATGGAAGCCCTCATCAGATCATCACAGGAATGGGAAGCCCCAGTGCGCTCCTGATTCCTGAGTCTCTGTTTAGCCAAGCCAATGCATTATTTCCATGTCTGCTATGAAAAGGAGCACAAGCCCGAATTCATAGACAAAGGCTGAAACCGAGAAAACGTTTTAATAAAAACACCAGAAGTCAAGCTCTGCCATTTAGCTGATAGAACTGTTGTTATTCATCGCACCATATGTTTTCACTAGTTTAGCCGAAGATTGTCATTCTTCCTCTTCACACTTCCAGCCTGCCTTCTGTGAGAAGTACCTGCTAATTTCTTCTTTTCAGATTACTTGATAGGTAAATTGGTGTCATGAGGGAGCTCGTACTGAGATCTCAATAAAGAGGTTCTTCCCTAGAAAAACTCACCCCTTCCCTTTGGAAAGAAGGAAGGGCGAAACAGAGCTTCCGTTTTCATAGGGGGAAATGCACTCTTCCTATTATCTATGGGAGACTCTGCACAACAATTACAGGTTTAAATCCAATGCTTTCACGGCTTCTAGAGGCCAATGCTCTACAAGTAGAAAATATTCTGCACAGCTAGCCTTCTGAGATTCGCACACATAATCATCAATTGATGATTCCTTCCTTGTTTCTAGGGCTTTCAAGTCCAAAGCCCATCAGCAGTTTAAATTATGAAAAATTAGGAGAAAACATCTAAGGGGTTAGATAATCCTGTGGATGGTCCATGAAGTGTATTATAGGAAACATCTCTCCACATTAAAATAATTATATTCTACTACTGTCAGTGACACTTTTTAAAATCCCAGCTGTGTCACATCATTTCTTTTTTAGAATAAGACCTAATGTACCTTACAACCTCAGCCAATATAGTGCCTTTCCATAATTCTCAAGTGTGAGAAAAATCAGATCTCAAAGGCAGAACTTGAACAAAAGTGAGGAAGAGATAGGTTAAATAATTTTCTCTTACATTCCTTTCCAGTTTGATTTAACACATTCATTGAGAGCCTGCCTCTCCCCAGCTTGCTCAAGGAAGAGAATCTCCTGCCCTTAGTGCCGTCCCTGGCCGGTGGAGGTAACCTTTTCTTTTTCCTGAAGCGTGGCCTCTGCAGGAGCAGTCAGTATTTGTGAGGCCTTGGTGAGCCTGGCACTCCCAACACTGAGCTTGACAAATGTGAAAGAGGAACTCAAGGGCTTTTGAATAGTTTCTTATGTTAATCAATAGGTAATGAGTCTGAGCTGTTTGAAGGGGAATCCTTTTCAAGGTGTTGATATCTTTGTGCTGGGCCTTGAGTTGGTGCCCCAAGGATTCCTTGACCAGTGGGTTGTTCAAAATGAAGTCTTTACAGAGAGAGTGGAAACTGATCAATAGTTTGGAAAACTGCAAGAGTGGAGAGATGTTAGCCCACGAAAATGAGTATTTCCAAAATGAATGCTAGTGGGTGTTAAGTACTTTGTAACTGGTGGTGAAGTGAGAAATAATTATTCAGACAAGTCTGAGTAATTCTGAAGATAAAGAGAGAAAGTAAAACACTCTGTTAACTCGAACCTAAGATGTTTTGGCATCTGACTATTCAGGATCTGTCAGTGGCTGATTCATGATATAATCGTTCTCAAGGGCACTTCATTTTAAGACAGCCTATTAGGAGGCCAAGGAAAGCTTTCTTCTAGCAAAGGCATCACATTAGAGTTGGGTTAAATATCCAACTGAGAACCTGGGTTAAATATTAAGGAAAAGCTTACCTAAAGAATATATGACATTTTGACTGCCCTGAGAAACTTGGTACACTGTCCTGAGGGAAGTCATGACAGAACTGAGTCACCGAATGATCCTTATTTTCATATTTTCCCTTTTCAGGGAAATAATGATCCTTAGTTTCCCTTTCAGGGAAAGTCCTTTACAACTTTTAGTATTTAAGTTTGTTTACTAGATAATACATACAGAAAAGATAGATCTGCACTTGCATGCACACACATGCACGCACACACACACCCCATGATCTCTGTGGGCTTCAGTCCAAAGCAAAGTAATAATTTCCCAGCAGGGTTTCGGTCAGTGACTCCAGATCCATGAGCAGAGAAGATCCAGTTGGGAGAAAGCCAAGGCAAAGGGAAAAGTCCCCATATACCCCACCAGAAACACCCATGTGTCGTTTTGATTGTAATATTCTGACTCGGGGTTAGGTAGCAAAGCACTGCCATACTCTTGTAAGACATTTACAAATATTGCCAGCTTTTCTCTCAGAAGCTGGACTGACCCTCTCGTCAGCCTTGACATCATGCCATGAGTTGAGACTGCCAGCCCAGCAGGGACAGGGCCATTCTGTAAGTGGGGAAGACCTCAGGTTATGTGACAGGCCGCTTGTGTTTGAATCCTAGCTCTACCACTTACTAGCTGTGTCTTTTTGGACAATGTACTTAACCATTCTGTACTCCAGTTTCCCTATCAGTACAATGAGGAGGAAAATAATAATTACAGCTCTTTCTCTGCCATCATGGTCTATGCAGTTGATTCTTCTTCACCATGCCTTCTTACAAGACTTTCAAGATTACAAGTTTCCTGGCCAAGAAACAAAAGCAGAATCAGCCCATTCTCCAATGGATTCCGATGAAAACTGGCAATAGAATCAGGTATAACTCCAAGAAGAGACATTGGAGAAGAACCAACCTGGGTCTGTAAGGAATCACACATGAGAGATGGCTCACATATTTATGCTGTACCAAGGTTGCCTGCATCTTGAAATCACTGAAAAGATCACTACTCTCTGGGCAGTTGGGTATTTTAATTGGGAAATTATTGGATAAATGATTTTCCCTGTTGATTTTTTCTGCTGTAGTAGGTTGGTGCAATAATAAATGTGAACTCTTTAAAAATAAAGGAAAATAATACTTACAGGATTATTCTAAGGATTAAATAAATATATGTAAAGTTCTTGATACAGTGAATGCCCAATGCATGGTAAACACCCAAATGTTCAATGTCATCACCACCACTGCTTACAAGTTTCGTGCCCTGGCTGCACTATTGCATGTGCATTTTGTAACCCTATGAGACAGTCACTACATGTAAATTACCAAGAGACTAAGGAGCATCCCAGGGTCACTGGAAAGTGACAGAACCAGTATTTGAATCCAATCTAACTCTTCATATGTGTGTGATGTGTATAAGACACAGCAATGTATCTGTCATTTTTCTGCCATTTTTTAAATTTAGTCATGTATTGTTTTATTTCAGAACATTATGATCTACCTATTCTCTTCAGTGACTCCACAGCATTCCATTTTATGGATGAACCATTAGACATTGTGTAGTTCCCTTACTGATGGACATTTAAGCTGTTTCCACCGCTTGCCATGACAAAGTTGTAGTGAAAATTGTTTTACACTGTATCTTCAGTACATATGGAAATGTATTTCAAGTTATATTCCTAGATAAATGGACATGCACTTTTGTTTTCAAATATCACCAAGTGACTTTTCAAAAGGACTAGCTTGATTTCCATGTCACCAAACATGTATGGGTTTTAGCATCTACCTTTGCAAACAAGACATTCATAAAGTAAATTCAGAGCCATGCTTAAAAATTCAACAACAAAAAAACCAGGAGTCTCCTTATTGGCTTTCAACAAAGAAGGGGAAGAAGGTCTCTAGAAATGTGGCAATGGTTTTAATGCGCTTTTTAATGTAAATCCCAGAACAAAGATGCTAGAATTGAAGGAAGGAATAAGCATATGTCAGCCCTAGGGTGTGAACTTACCCGGAGAGTTGGGCCTTTGTCACACACCTTGGAGGACAGCCTAAGAGGCACCTCCTGCAGCAGTTCCAGGGCCACCACAGAGGTCCGAGCAAGGACTGGAAACAAAGGCTATGCACTTTGAAGGTTAGTAGGTTTACAGCACAGGACACTGACTCCTACGCCTGGTAGTTCTTTTGTTTCTTATCCCGACTCTTTCTTCCTTTCCTCCTTCCTTCCTTCCCTCCCTCCCTCCTTCCTTCCCTCCTTCCTTCCTCTTTCTTTCTTTCTTTCTTTCTTTCTTTCTTTCTTTCTTTCTTTCTTTCTTTCTTTCTTTCTTTCTTTCTTTCTTTCTTTCTCTCTTTCTCTGTCTCTTTCTTTCTTTCTCTCTCTCTCTCTCTCTCTCTCTCTCTCTCTCTCTCTCTCTCTCTTTCTTTCTTTCTTTCGTAAAACTTCACTTCTAAAAAGGCTTTAAGCCCTGGCCAGGTAGCTCAGTGGGTTAGAGCATTGTCCAGATATGCCAAGGTTGCGGGCTCAATTCCTGTCAGTGCACACACAAGAATCACCAATGAATGCATAAATACATGGAGTAGCAGGTCAATGTTTCCCCCTTCCCCTTCTCCTCCCTCTTCCTCTCTCTCTCTCTCTCTCTCTCTCTCGGATTAAATAAATAAATAGCTTTAAGACAATTTATAGAATTAAATCACAAAACACTGACTACTTTTTAAATGGAAAAGAAAATTGGTAGATAAATATTTCACCAAGGTCCCACCCAGACCCCCAGGGTCCTGAGTTATGGCAAATGAATACTAAAATTCTTTCTAGACTCCCTGATGACCAGGGCAAGTGGTCAGCATTTTTCACTTTGTTTCTATTCAGTTTTGGAAATGCCAAAACTTAGAAAGCTCCTTCTGTGCTTTACATGATTCTGCATACATTGCAAACCTAGTGTATGAGCTCCTAGAACAGAGCTGCCTTGTTAACCACAGCACTGACAAATGACTCCAGGTACAACTGTGTCTTCAAAATAATCCTACTTTATTTAACTGGTTCAAGTGATTTTTGGTTCTTGGCAAACACATGGTCTCAGATTTAGACAGAGTTAGTTTAGCATCCTTGTTGAGTCCAATGTCCTTTGGAGTTCAGTCCAAGAATGTGTCCTTCCTTTTGGGAAGTAAGCAATATTTCAGTGGGTTTTCTTCTCTTTTCTTTTCTTTTATTTAAGTATGCAACTTGACAAAGAAGAAGTCCTCCTTTTCCTGTTCAGGTGGAACCATATCAGAGTGTGTGACTTTCTGGACCTACTTGTCCATAAGCAGGAACTCTTCATTTCCTAAATGTATTCCTTTGCCTACTAAAGGTTACCATCCTTTCCACCCAGCGGTCTCCTGCTGCTTCTGCACTGACTGGAAGATGAAAGACACTGCTATCCCTCAGAGCTGTCACCACCTAACACTGGTGTTTGTGCTAGGACTCAGAGGACAGTTCCAGTTCATTTAGGCAAATTGCCCTGTGTCTTTTAACACACATTAGGACAGAGGAGTCATCCCCAGTGTAGGAAAGCACCCAGAAGACTGCACATTGCAGCTTTGGTTTTGAGGCCTGGTTAATATTTCATCCCCAGACCGGGAAAGGCTATGCTTTGACGTTGAATTTAAACCACCATTTTTTTATTAAATGTAAAACAGTGGGCTGAGCTGTTCCTACCTTCCAAAAAGTAGCCACATTCCACTGTTTAGAAATAGTGAAAATAGTGGAAAAGGGAAGAGGCTGAGCTGCAAATGCCAAAGAAACAAAGCAAATGAAAACTTGAAAATTAGCCAAAAGATTCTGCCTTTTACAAAATACATAAACTGATTACTTGAAGAGAGGGAGGCTAAGATTTATGGAAGATTGGGTTTGACTTGGAAACATGGTTCTCAAACTTCAGTGTTTCTAAGAATCACTTAGGAATCCCTTAGCCATCCCCCACCTCCCCCTACCCAGCAGATCCTGAGTCAGTGGCTCTTTTCAGAGAGCCAATCTGAATTTCTAACAAATATACCCTGGTGAGGTGAGTCTAATGCCAGAGTTCATGAGCCACCCTCTAGGACTGCTGTCCAGCAGTGGTCTTCAGTCTGGGAAGTTTCAAAACTTCACAGCAGATTAACAACATTAGAATATTTGGGTGCAGAAAAGGTCGAGCACCCCACTGTGTGAGGATATTTTTCAACTGCACAACCATGTGCAAATCACCCACTGTCTTCTAGTCCATTTGGGCTGCTATAACAAAAATACCGAAGACTGAGTGGCTTAAAAAACATTTATTTCCCACCGTTCACCTGGGAAATCCAAGATTAAGGCACCAGGAGATCCAGTGTCTGGTGAGGACCTCGTCCTGATTTGTAGGTGCCCATCTTCTCACTGTGTCCTCACATGGCCGAGAGAAAAGTCTCCGGTCCCTTCCTCTTCTTAAAAGACATTAACCCCATCATGATCTCACTAAAAGCTAATTACTGTCCAGATGCTCCACCTCCAAATCCTATCACATCGAGGATTTGGGCTTCAACATATGAATTGGTTAGCCATCCATATTCTATGGTCCATCACACAAATAGAATTAGTGTTTGCGTTGTTATTAGTATAGTGCTTGGTAAGAAACAATTTGAAAACAGCATTTTATATTTTTAAAAGGTGGTAGAGTGGTTTTGCATCCTTTCCAGAACAAGGTGGGGTGTATGTCTCACATAGTATGTGTATGTGTGCGTGTTTCTTATTCTGGGGTCTCACTACTTCCTTCCTGAAAATAAAATTTTTCATTAAAAGTAAACATGGAAATTCCTGGTATGAGAAACAGTGATTTGGGAAAATATTTCCTTTTTAGTTATGAAGTTTTCTCTTTTTCTTAAATATTAAAAAAATTAAGTTTTTTTTTAAAAAATATTGATTTTATAGAGAGAGAAAAACAGTGAGAGAAGCAGTGATTTGTTATTCCACCTATCTGTGCACCCAACGATTGCCTCTAATATGTGCCCTGATCCAGGATTGGACCTGCAATCTTGGTGTATTGGAATGATGCTCCCACCAACTGAACTACCTGGCCAGGGCTGAAGTTTTCAATCAAACTTTTAAACCGTATAGGCAAAGCAACGAGCTACCCAAAACATAATGTGCAGGCTCTGAATATCTCACTAAAAGGAACTAAGACTTCTTGGGAAAAGAGCAGCTTTCCAAGGCTGAGGTAATAATGTATCAAATAATTACAGATCAACTTCTTACCCAGATATCAAAAACACTATACATGACCGTCATTTCAAAAGAACCTAGGAGGCTACTTGAAGAAGCTCTCACTGGCCAAAAATGTGACAATTAGAGTATCAGAAAGAAAATAACTGCACATAGAATATGTGAAACCTGTAAGTTCATAATAATACTCTACACTTTATATTCTACACCCACCACTAGAATAGAACTTTATGCAATGACGGAAGGGTCTGTGTCTACTGGAGCATTCTCCCCACAGACCTTTCTTCCTCACTTCTCTCAGGTCTTCAGCTGAAAGTCTCCTTCACATCTTATTTAAAATTGCATCACTTGACATGCAAGCATTTCCTAGCTCTTCCCTATTTTTCTCCACATTTCTTATCATTATCTAACCTACAACAGACAATCAACAAAACACAAAAATAAATGTCATCTAGAACATAAACCCCTGGAGAGTAGGGATTTATTTTTTAAATTTTTAAAAAATACTCACCAGAGCATATGTTTACTGATTTTGGAGAGAGAAGAGGGGAGAGAGAAAGAAAAAGAGGGAGAGAGAGAAACATCCATGTGAAACAGAAACATCTATCAGCTGCCTCCCCGTCATGCAGGATTGAACCTGCAAACTTTTGGCATATGGGATGATGCTCCAAACAACTGAGCCACCCGACCAGGGCTTTAAATTTTTATTTATTGATTTTTAG